CTGGGAACCGGGGCGGGCCGAGGAGCGCCCTCGCCGCCCAGCAGCCCTCTCCCCGCAGACAACGTCAAGGCCTACTTCAAGCGGGGCAAGGCGCACGCGGCGGTGTGGAACGTGGCGGAGGCGCAGGCTGACTTTGCCAAGGTGCTGGCACTCGACCCCTCGCTGCGCCCCGTCGTGGCCAAGGAGCTGCGGAGCCTGGAAGCCCGCCTGCGCGAGAAGGACAAGGAGGACAAGGTCCGCTTCAAGGGCATCTTCTCCCAGTAGTGCCCGTGGCTGCATGTGAGAGTCCGATACTCTCTGACCAGGTTCTTTTAGATATTCCACATGTGGAATGTTTATTAATGTTTATTAATGTTTAATACAAAGTTTACTTATTTGAAGTTACACAGGGTTTCGCCTTAGCAGTGATACAGCCATGCACTTAAATCACCGTACAAGTTCAAATTACACTCAGCAGGCTCTAGCAATTGCAAGTAGACGGCTGAATCGCAGTATAAATGTGAATCTCGTTACCAGTCTCTAGCACATGCCCGTCATCACAACGCCAGGCATCCCCACGCACCAGGAAGGACTGTAGGTGTTGAAGCCTGCTCAAGCCCCTGGCTCTCTTCAGAGTTTCTTTGTTCAGTGCTTGGTTTTTATACTTTGTGTTGGGCTGTATGAGTCCCCGTGCCGGTCTGGCCGAGTTGTTTATAGCCACGAAGTCTCCAGTGCCAAGTCTGCGCCCCATTTCTCTTCGCTTTATGCCTGTACTCCTCTCTGCCGCATCGTGTGTCTCCACTTCTCAAGGCCTCTGCTCTCATACCAGGCCTGTATTTCTCTCTGCCGCATCATCATGTTATAATCCTAAATATCTTATTCTACGTAGAATAACTGCTTGTTACTGCTGTCTGTGTAAAACTATGGTCATGCTATCCAAAGATAAACCAAATGTAAAACAGATTAGCCAGAGACCCTGGTCAATTAGAAACGCTGCTGTTACAGCTACACCGAAGCTGCAGGCAGACCAAGAGAAGTTCAGCCAGAGCAAGCCTGACAAGAGGATCATAGCATATAAGCAGATCTAATACATTCACAAGCTGTGTTACTTTAACAATAAGCTTATCTCTAAAACTAGTTTTGTCCCATTCTAGGGCTGAACGTCTTCAAAGTCAGGGATAGATGCTTCTACTGCGGGTTGTTAATGCTTAGCTGATGCAACGCGCTTTGCCACGCGCTGTCTGTCCTAGACTGCAGCAGCTCAGCGCCGGGCTGGTGTGGCCGCAGCTCCCCAAATGGCCATGCCCCTTGCTGCCATGCCCTGCCCCGAGATGGGATTTCAGTCTTTGAGCCAGGATTTAGCCTCGTGCCAGGGACTTAGTGCTGCAGACACGAGGAGGTGGCTGCCGTGGGGGGCGGCAGCGCTGCCAGGCTCATCCCGCCTCGCCCCCCCGAGCTGCCCTGGCCGGGCAGGTGAGCTGCTGCGGCAGGAGC